CTTCTCAGGTCTTTGATGAGGTTAAAGACTAGACAGTCACAGCTAATGTCCTCTCTTATCTTAGCTAGAATGCATTAGTTACAAGACTTAGACTTTCCAGAATAGGACAGCTATTGGAGTAATCTCTGCTATATGCCATTACCCTGGGACCGGACATCTAGCACATGTTTCCTGCTTCATGTTACTCTTGCTGGTTGTAGGTCTAAATTTATGAATGTTTTTATCTTTCCTTCTCCTGGACTATAGTTGATATTTGTTATCATTTTACATAATTCTTGTATCAGGCTTAAAATCCTATTATTTAGACAAAAAGGGGAAATGTAGTGGAATCTTTCTTTGCCAGGGAACTTGTGGTAATGACCACGCCCTATGGGTGTGACTTCAGGTGTTTAGACTGACCCTTTATAAGGTAGAGGAGGGGCTGACTCACTCTCTTGGGTTGTGATCAGAACATCCGAAGGGCAGAGACCTCATCTTCTGGAGCAGGGAGACCTCTGTGGTTATTTACTATTATTTGTGTAAGTGCTTATTTATAAATACTTATTATACTTATTATACTTATTTATAAATACTTATTTATCATTTATCTTGGGTCTGGTGAACTCTTTAAACCTTGCCTTCAACTCACTGATATCTCTCAACATTAATTATCTAAATTTCCCAATAAAAAGACACAGAGTAACAGATTAGATTAAGAAATGGGATCCATCCTTCTGCTGCATTCAAGAAACACACTATAACATTAGGAATAGACATCACGTAGGATAAAAGAATGGAAAAAGACATTCCAAATGAATGGACCTAAGAAGCAAGCTGATGTGAGTCATTTTGTTAGCTGAAAAAATAGCCTACAAGTGAAAATTAATCAAAAGAGATAGGGAAGAACACTATATACTCATCCAAGGAAAACTCACCAAAAGGACATTTCAGTTCTTATCATCTATTCCACAAACACAAGAGTACCCAAGTTCATAAAAGAAATAATGCTACAGCTTAAGTCACATATTGATCATCACATACTCATAGTGAGAGACTTCAATAGCCCATTCTCACAGATGGCCAGGTCATCCAGCCACATCCTAACAGAAATGGTGAAGCCAAATGACATTATAAACCAAATGGACCTAACAGATAGCTATAGAACAACACATCCAAACATAAAAGAATATACCTTCTTCTCAGCATGTCATGGAATTTTGTTCAAAATTGACTACTTACTCAGACTCAAAGCAAGTCTCAGCAGATGCAAGAAATTTGAAATAACACCCTGCATCCTATCAGACTACTACAGATTCAAGCTGGATATCAACAACAACAGAAACAACAGAAAGATTACAAACACATGGAAACTGAACATGAACCACTGAATGAAAAATTGGTCAAGAGAAAAATCAAGAAAGAAATTAAAGACTTTCTAGAACTTAATGAAAATAAATACGAAATGTGCCCATACTTTTGGAATACAATAAGGTTCTCAGAAGCAAGTTCATATCACTAAATGTCTACATTTGTTTTTAAAAAGGAGAAATCTTATACCAGTAACTTAACAGAACACCTGAAAGCTATAGAGCAAAAATAAGCAAACACACCAAAAGATAAATGCCAAGAAATTAACTAAGGGCTAAAATTATATACATATATACATGTGTGTATACATATAATGTATACATAAATATCACAACGACAAAAATAAAAAACTCAATGAAACAGGGTTGGTTCTTTAATAAAATCAATTAAGATTGACAAACCCATATTCAAATTAACTAAAAGGTAGAGAGAGAATATCCAAGTTCAGAAAATTAGAAGTGAAAGTGGTGACATACAACATATACTAAGGAAATTCAGAAAATCATAAAGATAAGCTTTAAAATGGCCCATGGCTTTAATCCCCACACTCAGGAGGCAGAGGCAGGCAGATCTCTGTGAGTTTGAGGTCAGCCTGGTCTACAAGAGCTAGTTCCAGGACAGTCTCCAAAGCCACAGAGAAACCCTGTTTTGAAAACAAAAACAAAAACAAACCTATACTTATAAAATTAAATAAGCAACTTAAACAGACCTACAACCCCTAATGAAATAGAAGCAGTCATTAAAAGCTCCCTACCCTCACCAAAAAAAGATCTCAGGGCCGAAGTATTTTAGTGTAAACTTTGAACAAGAGTTAATGCCAGTATTCCACAAATTATTCCACAAAACAGAAACAGAAGGAAACCTACCCAACTCATTTTATGAGGCCAGTTACTCTGACACCCAAACCACATAAAAACCTAACAAAGAAGAGAATTATAGAGCAACTTGCCTCATAAATATAGATGCAAAAGTTCTCAAAAGATAGTGGCAAACTGAATCAAGAAGAATACATCAAAAAGATCATCCACCATGATCAGACATGCTTCATCCCAGAGATGCAGGGATGGTCCAACATACACGCATTACCAAATGTAATCCACTATATAAAACAGACTGAAAGATAAAATCTACATGATTATCTTATTAGATGAAGAATTTGACAAAATTCAATACGCCTTCATAATAAAATCCCTGGAGAGATATAAGGGGCATACCTAAACATAGTAAAGGCAATTTACAGGAAGCCCATAGACAACACCTACTTAAATGGAAACTCAAAGCAATTTCACTAAAATCAGGAACAAGACAAGGTTGTCCACTCTCTCCATATTTACCAGTATAGTATTTGATGCTAATTCAGAGCAATAAGACAATGAAGAAAATAAATGGAACACAGATTGGAAAGGAAGAAGCTAAAGTATCTTTATTTGCAGGTTATATATATATGACCCTAAGAACATCACCGGGAAATTTCTACAGCTGCTAAAAGTATCAGAACACAAAATTAACATGTAAAACCCAGCAGCCCTCCATCATACAAATAATAAACATACTACTAAAGAAATCAGGGAAGCAAAACCCTTCACAATAGCCTCAAATAATATCAAATATCTTGGGTCAACTCTGGCCAAGTAAGTGAAAGACTTGTATGACAAAAAAAATCTTTAAGACATTGAAGAAAGGAACTGAAGAAAATAACAGAAGATGTAAAGACTTCCCATCTTCCAAATGCAATTTACAGATTCAATACAACACTCATAAAAATTCCACACAATTCTTCACAGAAAGCTTCATATGTGTATTAGTCAGGGTTTTCCAGAGCAACAAAACTTGAGAATGACTACATGTATATCTAACTAACTAACTATATGTACGAATGTATGTATGTATGTATGTGTGTGTGTATGTATGTATGTATATATATTTAGAATGATTTACTTGCCGCTCGGTTCAGCGAATCCAACAATGGCTGGTTGTGAACAGCAAGTTCAAGAATTCCGTAATTGCTCAGTCCATGGAGCTGGATGTCTCATCTGGTAATCCTGAAGAAATAGGCTCTAATGACAGTGAAGGAATGGACTTGCTAGCAAGGTGAGGGCAAGCAGACAAAGATCAAACTCTTCCTTCTACCATGTCCTTATGAAGGCTTCCAGCAGAAAGTGTGGCTCAGATTAGCTCTGGATTAAAAATGTGTCTGTTCTGAGCTCCAAAACATCTGTGTTACAAGGAGTCTTCCCACCTCAAAATTCTAGATCAGAAGTGGCTCTTCCTATCTTCCTTGATCTTAAACCAAACAGAAATCACTCATATGTGTGCCCTTCATTTTGGGGTTTTAGTTCCAGTTGTAGTCAAGTTGACAACTAAGAATAGCTATCACAAGTCAACCCTTTGTCAACTTGACACACAATCATATCTCCTTATATTGTAATCAATTTCCAAATAAAGACAATACCAGGCCATAATAATACCTAAATATGATATGAACTATCCTACATATAAACCTAATGTTATACAACTGTCCTTCATACAACTATAAATGCATTATAAATTTAGAATAAGTGGCAATGTCTCTTGAGGGATATTCTTTTAGTATCTCAAATTTAAGTATGATAACCAATGATATTCTCCAGTTGATGTTACATAAAATGATAAATTGAGGAAAGAAACCCAAATATTTGTAAAAACACACTCAATGAATTATGACATAAACACCCATGTCAATTACAATCCTCATTTTTTTAACTGGTCATGTGGACTTAGCTGGTATGTATAATTACCTTCCTCTATTACCCATTCTGTCTTTCTTCCCTATCAGCAAGCAACTCAGCAGATCTTGGCTCTTTTCTAGGAGGAGTGACCATACCCTCATTCCTGAAAAACCTGTGCTCTTTGTCACTCAGCATCAATTAGGCTGTTTTGATGTTGTGAGACATTCACCAGAGAAGACTTCTTGGTCATGGGTTTAAGCCAATAGTGAGTCTGTACTTGAACTTGATAGATTAGGCCTTTGCTTTAGTTTTGGCAAATGGTGCTGTCTACATGCTGGGTTTTATAGCCTGAATGATATTTTCACCATGGAGTAAGTGGTATTAAGGTCCCAGGGCCTACTAATGTCTGGGACCCTATCATAGTACTTTGCCATTAACTTTACTCCCACCAAGAGATGCCTTAAAGGACCTGCACTCCAGATATAGCTTTACCTCCAATGTCAAGAAGCAATACAGTTTCCCCATGGTAATCTGGATCAATCACATTTCCTAACAGTTATTCTTTTCATAGCCTATTGGCTTAAGGGTACTAGAAACCCAAAGTGGCCAGGGGAAGTCTGAACTTCAAGTTCAATAGCATGTTTGTTGTGGATCCTGGCATGAGAACTCCCCACTTGTGAACTAAAATTTCTATGACAGCAGAACTTAAGGTCATAGGAATGGAAGTAAAAATTTTCCTAGTTGGTCACTAGGGATAATAGTGAATGAAATTATTTCCTTTTCCACCCCGATTCCTGGAACTATAGATCCTAGCTATGGGAGAAACAGTATATATATTGGATGCCCATTAAAAACGCATACTGCCTTCTGGAGAACTCTGACTCAGAACATTGTGCTGCTGCTACCCAATTGGCATTGTAACTGTGTCTTCAAATGCCATTTCACCTTTCTATCAGGCCAGATGCTTCAGCGTGTTGGGGAACATGGTAAGACCAGCGGATTCTATAACTGTGGGTCCACTGGTGCACTTTTCTGCCTGTGAAGTGAGTTCCTTGGTCAGAAGCAATACTGTGATGGCAGAGTCTACAGAATGCCTTATATTCACTTGGTCCAATCAGCACAAGGTCATTAATATAGTGCATCAATGTGGTATTCTGCAGAAGAGACAGAATTTTATGGTGGCATGATTCCTATGGACCTTTGGTACTGGATAATCAATCACAGTGTTTCCAGACATGAAATAGATAAGAAGCCTACTGACTTTCTGTTTAATTTGTATAAATAAGAAAATTCTCAAACAAATGAAAGAAAGGCTGTATTGGATCATGGCAAAAGGAAATATCAACCAGTGAATCAATTTCAAGACTTGAGCCAGTATGCAGACCTAGAATCTCATGAATGAGTAGATTCATTCCTCAGGTTCCTCTAAGGAAGGACTTTGATAAGATACCTGGGAGTTTTACTATTAGCTTTCTCCAGTTCTTCCCCAGAGGGACCTATAGACAAGAATAAATGTACACTGGGGGAAAGGAAACAATCACACTTTCTAGAGTCTACTGGATACTGGCTCTGAATTGATGCTGACTCCAGGAGGCTCCAAGAAACATTTTGGTCCTTCAGTTCAAGTAAGGGCTTATGGGGGTTAGGTAATAAATGGAGTTTTGGCTGAAGTCTGACTCATAGTAAGTCCAGTGGGTCCCCAGACTTATCCTATGGTTACTTCTCCTGTCCTTAGCCTAGTCTGGTTATAGGTCTAGAGGCAACCAACTCTTGGTGGACCCTGAGGGCCATCAGCATTGTTTTGCCTGACATTTCCTTCAGAGAAATTCACTGCTGGTTTGTTTAACAGACATTGAAGGGTTCATTTCCTCAGTCAAAGGCGTAATAGGCAATACGTGAAGAGCAGTGATCAATAATTAGAGAACAAACCTTCTAATGTGGAAAGCAATTAAGAAAAACAATTGATGTTGACCTCTGGCCTCTACATACAAGTCACGCACATGGATGCTCATCATCACACAATAATGAACACATGCCCACACATGAACATATATACATATAAACACATACATAAAGACATAAAGAATTTTGTGATATTATGAACCCTATATAAAAACCCGCAAAGAAATAGCAATATTTAATTATGATATGAGGCTGCAACCATGACCTCTAACTGCTTTATGATTTTCCAAAACATACTTCCTGTTCCTAAAGGTGGTCTTTAGGAATTAAGATGCTAAAACCATAATGATTTTATGCAACCTTAGCTCTTAATGTTTGCTCTAAAGTAACTTACAATGCTTTTTCATGTCTATGTGTGTATAAATTTAGCAATTCACTATACAAATTAACTATTTTATAATATAATTTAATTTAGTTGGCAATTTTTATAATTACAAAGGCAAAATACTTGACTCATCAATTTCAAATGATAAATTACTGAATTAAGAAGATTTATATTATTATTGTTCTATTCAGAATACGTAAAATATAGAATATCTTAAAGACAGAAAACTAATCTAATCATAAACCAAACAAATATAGATTTTATTATACTTAACCTTCCCTACGCAAATCATTTTTATAACTTAAAACAGCCTAGATTTTTCTAATGTAAATTTACCACTATGGGACCAATAGCTATTCATCAAAGGAATGTCATCATGGAAAAAATATACTAATACTCACTAATTAAAATACCAATTCTATTTTGCATATTAAATATTATGGCTTACCATATCGGCATTTTCTTTGCCTAAAATACAAAAATTCACAAATCTTAAAACAAAAACCATGAAAAGCTATAGCTACAATAATTTTTAAAATGTATATATAACATAAAATGATACAAACTAGTTATCAAAAACATAAAACTTGTAAATAAGAAAAAGTTTAGATAGTTATGCAAATATAGTTCATTTTGGGGCACCTTAAAATAGACTGCTACAGTGGATGACCAGTAGCAGTGGGAAGCTATGTAGTTTGGGGCCTACCCAGATTCATGAGACTCAATGGAAGCGGTTCTAAGAGGCAGTTTCATAGCACTGAGTGCCTACATAAAAAAGGGAGAGATCTTACATTTGTGACTTAATGGAACACCAAAAGGTCTAGAACAAAAAGGAAAAATTATGCCCAAAAGGAGTAGGTGGCAAGAAATAATCAAACTCAGGTTTGAAATAAAAAAAAATACAAAGAAGCCAGAAATACACAAATGGTGCTGGTCAACCTGATGGAATGCAAATAGAGCCATACTTATCACTCAGCACAAAATTCAACTACATGGATCAAAGACCTCAACATAAGGCCAGACACACTGAACCTGATAGAAGAGAAAGTGGGGGAATAGCCTTGAACTCATTGACACAGGAAAAGACTTTCTGAACAGCACATCATTAACATAGGCACCAAGATCAATAATTAATAAATGGGACCTCATGAAACTGAAAAGCTTCTGTATGGCAAAGGACACTATCATTTGGACAAAGTAGCAGCCTACAGAATGGGAAAAGACTTTTACTAACTATACATCTGATAGGAGTAATATCTAAAATATATAAAGAGCACCAAGTCCTAGGCATCAAGAAAGCAAACAACTCAATTCAAAATGGGCTATAGATCTAAACAGAGAATTCCCAAAAGAGGAAACACAAATGACTGAGAAGGATTAAAGTCATCATTCTTAGCCATCAGGGAAATGCAAATTAAAACTATTTTGAGTTTTTGTTTTATCCCAGTCAAAATGAAGAAGATTGATTTTTAAAAAAATGACAGCACAGGCTTGTGAAGATGCAGGGAAAGGGGAACACTCATCCATTGCTGGTGGGAGTGCAAACTTGTGCAGTCACATTGGAAATCAGTGTGGTGGTCCTCAGGAAATTGGAAATACATCTACCTGAAGATCCAACTATACCACTCTAGGGCACATGTCCAAAGGACTCTATACACTGTTGTGGAGATGTTTACTCGATCATGTTCATTTATGCTCTATTCAAAATAGCCACAAATTGGAAACAGATTAGATGTCCATCAACAGATGAATGGATAAGGAGAACATGGTACATTTATACAATGGAAAAAGACTCAACTGTTAAAAATAAAATCATGAAATTCACAGGTAAATGAATGGAACTGGAAAAAATCATTCTTAGTGAGATAATCTAGACCCCAAAGGACAAAAATGGTATATTTTCACTTATATTTGGTTGCTAGCTCTTAAATTTTCAATAAGCAGGCTACAATGCATATAACCAAAGAGGTTATGTATAGAGTAAGAGACTGGGGGAAGACTCTTATAAAGGATACATATAGTAGATAGTTAGGAATGAATGGGCCAGAACTAGAACAGGATAGTAAATCAGGGACAGGGAGAAAAGAGTTGGTTGGGGAAGGAAAACGACAAGGGACAACTAAAACTAAATATTGTTTGAGGGGTTGGATATAGTAAAATACCTACTATAGTAAAAACTTCCTAACATATATACACATATGAAGGTGAATTTAATGGAATTGACAAATAATGGGGGAGATGGAGCTCCAGCTAGACATCTCTTGTCACCAAAGTAAGATTCCAATTCCAGGAATGGATTATATCTAAATAGGTTTGGCCAAAAAGCCCCTGTAGGAATCCACAAAAAACCTAGTCAATTGCCATGGCTATTGGTTGGTATCCAGAAACTGATGGTAAGACCCCATTGCTAAAAACATCACTTATATAAACCATTGAGCATGGAGAAGTTGAGCTGATGCCCACACAGAGACATCATTCGGAGCTTATATCACAACAATAGAAATAACAGGAACAATTCAAATAATCAAGGAATCTAATAGCTGCTTCTTTAAGAAGATAAATAAGAAGATAAATAAGATTGTCAGAGCCAAAAGAGAAAAGGAGAGGACCCAGAATGACAGAGTCTGAAACGAAGAAGAAGCATTGTATAGCAGAAGCCAAAGACATTCAGAATATTATAGTGTCTATTTATAAAACCCGCCCTCCACAAAGCTAGAGAACAAAAAATGAACTAAACCCCAAAACAAGGTCAAGATGTCAACAGCTTCAACAGACACTAATAATGAGGACGACCAGAGCTCCACAGAAGCCCCTGCTCTGCTATAGGCCATGCTAGTACTTGAAACCAGTAGCTCCATGCCCTGCCTGAGGCCACACTGGTACACAGAACCTCAGGACCCCTGAGGATCTACCAGTCACCAGAACCACAGGTCACTCATGACAGAAGACCAGAGAGGTAACAGAAACTAAGGAACAAAACACCAATCCAAAAAAGATACACTCAAAAATTGGCACCTAAATCTATAATTACCCCTAAATCTTAGATGCCTGGAGGCCAACATAAAAACACAATAATAGCCATGGCAATATGTCACTATAAGAGCCCAGCTATCTGTCTTACTACAGCAATCCCTGCATATTCCAACATAGCTGAAGCAAAAGAAAACAACCTGAAAAACAACTTTATGAAGATAGTAGAGAGCCTTAGAGAGGAAATTAATAAGTCCCTTAAAAGAAAGCCAAGAAAAAACAAACAGGTGAAGGAAATGAATGAAACTGTTCAAGACTTTCAAATGGATATATAGAAGCAATAAAGAACACAAACTGAGGGGATTTGAAAAGATGGAAAACCTAGGTAAATGACCAGGAACTACAGATGCAAGTATCACCAATAGAATACAAGAGATGGAAGAGAGAATCTCAGGCATAGAAAATACAAAGAAGAAATAGGAAAAATCGATCAAAGAAAATGTTAAATCTAAAAAAAATTCTAACACAAAATATCCAGGAGATCTGGGAAACTGTGAAAAGACCAAACTGAAGAATAATCGAAATAAGAGAAGTATCTAAGCTCAAAGACATAGAAAATATTTTTAACAAACTCATAGAAGCCAATTTTCTGAACCTTAAGAAAGACATACCTAAAAAAGCACTAGAAGCTTACAGAACACCAAAAATATTGGACCAGAAAAGAAAAGTGCCCCTGCCACATAATAATCAAAACATTAAACATACAGAATAAGCAAAGAATATTAAAAGCTGCAAGGTAAAAAGGCCAGGCAACATATAAAGGTAGACCTATTAGAATTACACCTGACTTGTCAGTGGACATTATAAAAGCCAAAAGGGCATGGACAGACGTCATGAAGGCTCTCCGAGACCACAGCTTCCAGTGAAGACTACAATATTATAGTGTCTATTTATAAAACCCAGCAGACGGAGAAAACAATATATTACATGACAAAGTCAAGTTTAAATACTATCTATCCAAAGTCCAGCCCTACAGAAGGTACTAGAAGAAAAACTCTATCCCAAAGAAGCTAACTACATTCATGAAAACACAGTAAATAATCTCACACCAGCAAACCCAAAAGACAGGAAAACACACACACAAACATACAACTACCACCAACAACAAAATAGCAGGAATGAACAATTATTAGTCATTAACATCTCTAAATATCAACACACTCAATTCACCAATAAAAAGACACAGGGTAACAGAACAGATGTGAAAACAGGATCCATCATTATGCTGCATACAAGAAACACACCTCAACATCAAAGACAGACACTAACTCAGAGTAAAGAGTTGGTATCAGATTTTTCCAAGCAAATAGACACAAGAAGCAAGCAGGGATAGCCATTCTAAAATAATACAATAGACTTCCAAGCAAAATTAATCAAAAGATGGGGAAGGACACCATACTCATCAAAGGAAAAATCCAACAAGATGATATCTTAATTCATAATATCTATGCCACAAGCACAAGGGTGCCCACATTTGTAAAAGAAACTACTGAAGTTTAACCCCTCACCAAAGGATTAAATTGCTCAACTGCTTAAACCACACATTGAATTCCACACTGTAATAGTGGGAGACTTCAATATCCCACTCTCACTAATGGATAGACCATCCAGATCAAAACTTAACAGAGTTCTTTGAGAAAATCAGTGAGAGCCTGGACTCTTGTGGGAGGGCCTAGGCCCTGCCCTGGATGAAATGAAAGACTCTGGAGATCCACCTTGAAGGGCCTCATCCTCCCTGGAGATCGGAGTGGAGATTAGGTGGCAGGCTGGGGGGCCTGGTGGGGAAGGGGGAGGAGAAGGAGCTGGGATTGACATGTGAAACAAGCTTGTTTCTAACTTAAATTTTAAAAAAGGAAAAAATTAAAAATTAAAAAGTACTTGCAAACTAAATTCAAGAACACCTCAAAAAGATCATCTTCCATGATCAAGTAGGCTTCATCCCAGAGATGCAGGGATGGTTCAACATATAAAAATCCAGATCTTCAGATATAGTACAGAGCTACAAAATAAAAACAATATGATATTGGCATAAAAACAGACATGTAGATCAGTGGAACAAAATTGAAGACCCAAACACGAGTACATGCAACTTCAACCACTTAACATTTGATAAAGATGCCAAAAGCATAAGCTTGAGGGGAAAAAGCACTTTCAACAAATGCTTCTGGGAAATGGGATGTCCATCCAGAAGAATGAAATTAGACCCATATCTGTCTCCTTACACAAAAACTATCTCCAAATGGATAAAAGACCCAAGCAGGAAACTCGAAACACTGAAATGGCTAGAGGAAAACATAATGACCTGAATGGCAAGATGTAAGGTGTAGTAGTGGTATGTATAGCTTGGCAGTAACCAGTACTGGGCTGTAATATTTTAAGAATCTTTTGAACAAGTGTGATCAACAGAACTAAAACAGGGCTGCTTCAGCCTAGTATTGGGCCTCTGCTGGGCATTCTTTGACTCTTGAAGGAAATATTGTCAGCCAAGATGACAAAATTTCATTTAAACCATATATGTATATTTATGCAATGCTTTTATGCATTATAGTTTTTGTTTTGTTTTGTTTTGGATTGATTTAGTTTAGTTTGGTTTTTTAAGACAGGGTTTCTTTGTGTTAAACCTCTAGCTGTCCTGAAACTCACTTTGTAGACCAAGCTAGCCTCGAGCTCACCAAGATCGCCTGCCTTTGCCTCCCAAGTGCTGGAATTAAAGGCATAGACCACTACCACCTGGCACATTAGAATTTTTTAAAGGTTAATGCTAAGATGCATATGGGTTTTTAACCTTCCTCCATTCTTCTTTAGTAGGACTTTATAAGAATCAACTCATAAAGAGCAAAATCATGTGTAGGACTGGAAACCTAGCCAGTTACTCAGGACTAGTGAAGTCATGGATTTTGGAGGAGAACCTACACCCACAAATATGCTGAACTAGAATAACACCTAATTAATTCTAAATATTTGTCCTCATGCACATAGGTAAGCATAATCCTTACTCCTCATTAAGGAAACCTGTCTTTGCAACAGAAAAGGAGGGGACAGAAAGACAGTAAGAGCCAGAGGATCAGGGATTTTGCTATGATACATACAGTATCTCCTAGGAATGTCAGAAGCTACACCCATAAAGTCTCACCAATTTGACTGCCTAAGCCTGAACTGACCAATAGGTGTGGTGAAGTGGACATGGATTACATCCTAAATATCTGACCTTATATGCAGAGATAAGTGTAGTCCTCACCCCTCATCCAGGAAACATCATTTTCCAACAGAAAAATACCTCTGCAGAAAACCACAACCAGTCCAAAGGCAGAGCTGTGGAGTTCAGTCCCAATGGATAAATCTACAACACATCTCCTGCACCTAAGGCACAGGGAGCACTGTGCTGAAGGGTTGGAGAGTCAGGAACAAGAGAATCAGGGAGTTCATTGTGAGATCGTATCTCTTAGTAATATCAGCAACTACACTCATAAACTCTCACCAGCAAGACTGCTAAACAAAGATAGCAACAATAGAGATGCTAAAGTGGGGATGTGGACAGGAGATCTCAACCCTACACAAAGAACTGCAGGTAACTAAGGAATGCTAAGAGTGGGAGAAAAAGTCTTCTCCAGGGAAGAGTACACCCATTGGTTATCCAACACCAAATGGTCAGCCTTGAAATAACATACAGACTTAGTAGGATATGTGTGTGTGTGTGTGCATATATATGTAGTTACATATATCTGTATATAATTACATATATTTAATAACAATAAAAAATAAAAACAGAGGCTATGGATTTGCAAGAGTGGAGGGGTAAATAGGAAGGTTTAATGGAGAAAGGGGGGCTGGAAAAATGGCTCAGAGGTTAAGAACACTGGCTGCTTTTCCAGGGGTCCTGAGTTTAATTCCCAGCAACCACATGGTGGCTCACAAACATCTATAATGAGATCTGGGGCCCTCTATTGAAATGCAGGCACAACACTATACATAATAAATCTTTCTTTAAAAAGTGGAGGAAAGGGGAGAAATGTTGCAATCATGTTGTAATTATAATTTCAAAAAATAAATAAAATAAAAAGGTTTCATTGTCTTAATCTCACAATAAAGGTATCATTGAAAGCAAAAAGTGAATAATATAAAACAGTAATGTGAAATGTTTTATTTTCATGCTTCTTTTGTCATAAATTTACTTAGTCTATAATTATAAAAATTAAACTGAATAATTTGTAGTACTTAAAAATTTCTATACCCTTTAAAACAAACGATTTGGAAATATACAGTTAGGAGTGTAGTCATCTCACCAAAACACTGTGCTGTTCTTCCTGAATTTCTCTATAGTTTGTCACTGTGAATTCTTTCCCTACACTGAAAACACTCAGAAAACTTATCTTAAAAAGTTCTCTAATATCTATCTTATTAGTTTGTACTAATTCTTTTTTTGCTCATTTTAATAATTATTAATAAAAATTTTCTCCTTAGCTTATCTACCATCTCCTTGAGAAATTATTTTAAAAGGTTTATTTTATTTACTGAACTTTAATAATGAAATGATAGAAAACATATGTGTCAAAATCTGTAATAAAATAAACTTTTATTTTTATTTTTATTTTTTTGGTTTTTCAAGACAGGGTTTCTCTGTGGCTTTGGAGGCTGTCCTGGAGCTCACTTTGTAGACCAGGCTGGCCTCGAACTCACAGAGATCCGCCTGCCTCTGCCTCACGAGTGCTGGGATTAAAGGCGTGCGCCACCAACGCTCGGCTTAAAACAAACTTTTAATTACGTAGTGACTCAACTAAAACAAGAAATTCAATAATGAAAAACAAAAGAATCAAGATGTACATTGATGTTTGCTCACAGTTCTACTATGACTTGCCCAGAGCCCAACAGTTTCACAGACTTGACATTATAACGGCTTTGATGCTTCACATATGCTTGTTAGCACTCATGCAATACTTGAGATAGTGGCAGTACCTACCAGTTGACATAGTCAATCCAAAGCTTTAAGGAAAAATAAAAAGAAAAGTAGTATGAGAAATTCCTAATTGTGCAACAAATATTTCAAATTGTCATTTAAAAAAATTCAAAGGCCTTTTAGTTTAAAAAAAAAAAGCAGGAATTACCAAGAAGCCCCTGGTGATTTTCTGAATTCTTTACTTGTATTTATACCAAACTTCTTAATTCTCATATTAAATCTCTGAAAATATATAAATGAAATATCATGTAAGTTTAAGAAAATATGCCAGTAAAAGCAAAAACAAAACACCAAAAAAAAAAACTTAGAGCAGAGACCGTCTAATAATAACTCTCAGAAGAAAATAACAGGTGGCATAATCATGAATAATGTCTGGCTTCACACAGCTACATATCTTGACCAGAGCACTAAGCAAGGACACATGGAAGTTTCAGACATAAGGGATTCAGACAAATATATGGGATTTACAGAAGCAGAAATAACAGTGGTTCTCAACCTGTGGGTAGCAGCCCCTTTGGCAAACCTCTAACTCCAAAAATATTTACATTATGATTAATAACTGTAGAAAATTACAGCTATGAAGTAGCATCAATACAATTTTATGATGGGGTCACAACAACATGAGGAACTATATTAAAGCACATCAACATTCGTAAGTTTGAGAACCACTGCCTTCCAGATCTTAAAAATTATTGGATAGAAAAAGTGAGAAAAACCCTGGTTCCAAAAGCAGACAGATAAACTCACTAATGTTAATTGTGATGCAGTTAACAGTAAGAACCTATTGTGCCATGTCTTACCATGGGGTTAAATGTTTGATGCATTTCTTCATTCTATATTTACATTTTAATACTGATATTTAAAATTTCAACAAACTTATGAGTTTATTATCTCCATTTTACAGACAAGGAAGAAACTCAAGTCTTATTAAGTTATATCAAACCCACCTTATGAGATGCTATGATTAAAATACTGACTCTTATATACACTTACTTGAAAAGAATATTTGCTACAATGCTAATTTATGATTATTGTACAGGCTCACAGAAAAAAAACCTCAGATGTACCGAAATTGTGTTAGGGTAAGGACTTTGATGATGCTTTTCCTTGCGGATTGTAATTTTTTCTGCCTATTCTAATATAAATAACAGCTACCAAACACTTAAGTTGATCAGAAAGATGAATGGAAAGTGTGAAGTTGAAAAAGAAATTACGATAATGATTTCAAGATAATAGAGTATAAAGGAAAAGAGGCAAAGTGGGTCAGAGTCAAAAGGGAATGACACGATAGGAAAACGCAACACCAGTAGACTCATACACAAGACGGCTAGAAAAGACAACAACAAAATCAGGCACATGTGTGTTTACTTGTGTGTGCACACACGTGCACACAGTGCACACATATATGCATCAACACATACATACAAACATATACTCAAACATTTGTACCACAGAAAAAAGTTTCAAAATTATTACATGAATGAAGTTGCCATGCACTTTTGAAGAGCCTCAAAGACATCATAGATCAAAGAGAGGTCACTGTAAACCCTTCTATTATCCCATAAGTGCCAGTGCAATGGTCTAGGAAACCTATATAAAGACCATATAAAAAGTAATTACAGAAGAAAATTATAAAGAAGGTGACACAATGAAAGCACTTTGCAAACTCTGCATCAAATGATGTCACTACTGATATATAAAACAGTAACACTGATGTTAACCCAGAATGAGTATTGGCTTGTGAATTCTAAGTGGAGTGGTAACAGACAAAGCAAGAAGCTGAACAAAAGTTTTCATTAGAATGATATATTTCTAAGAAATATGACAGAGGCTAAATCTACTCCCTTGTTTCTATATTAAAACTATCAGTCAGGCAAGGTGATGCACTCCTATAATCCTATCATTCCAGAGTCTAGAGCAGAGACATCATGTGGATAAGCCTGAGCTATGTAGAAAGAACCTGTCTCCCATGCCCCCCAAGTTCAAACACAGAACAAATACACAAAATCGACATAATGATGATGCAGATGCATTATAAAATTCTTTAAATTCTTTGAGAGTCTGCAAGTGAAACCTGCATGACCATGTGAAAAGTAGTTCACCCTTATTCTAAAAAATCTGGCAGCGGATTATTTGTAATACCCAGAACCTGGAAGCAACCTAGATGCCCCTCAGTTGAAGAGCAGATAGAGAAAATGTGGTACATTTACACAATGGAGTACTACTCATCAGAAAAAACAAAAAACAATGGAATCTTGAAATTCCAAGGCAAATGGATGGCACTAGAAGAAACCATCCTGAGTGTGGCAACTCAGTCACAAAAAGACAAACATGGTATTTATTCACTCATATATGGATTTTAGACATGATCAGGGGAGTGCCAGCCTACAATCCCACCACCAGAGAGTCTGGGAAACAGGGAGGACACGAAGAGAGATATTCATGGTACTCTGGAGAAGGGGAATGGGACATGATCTCCTGAGGGGATTGGGAACATGGCGGGGAGGGGAAGGGAGAGGAAGCTGGGAGAAAGAGAGGGGGAGAAGAGGAGAGGAGAGGATGATATGGGGGAGGAGGAAGGTTGAGTAAGGGGAAGAATAGAGGAGAGCAGGATGAGAGATACCATAATAGAGGGAATCACTATAGGTTTGAGAAGAGATCTGGCACTAGGAAGATTTTCAGAGATCTACAAGAATGACACCGACTGTCAATCTAAGCATAATGGTGAGGTTACCTTACATGTCCTTCCCTGATAATGAGATTGATGACTACCTTGTATGCCATCCTAGAGCCCTCATCCAGTGGCTGATGGAAGCAGAAGCAGACACCCATAGCTAAATACTGAATTGAACTCCTGGAAACCAGTTGTAGAGAGGGAGGAGTGATGAGCAAAGGGGTCATGACCAGGCAGGTGAAACCCACAGAAACAGCTGACCTGAACAAGGGGGAGCTCATGGACCCCAGACTGATGACTGAGAGTCCATCATGGGCTGATCCAGATGCCCTGAATGTGGGTGTCAGGGAGGAGGCCTCAGCAATCTCTGGGACCTCAGTAGAAGATCAGTATTTATCCCTGACATACATATGGATTTTGGTAGCCCATTCCACATGGAGGGTTGCTCTCTCAGCCTGGACACATGGGGGAGGCCCTAGGCCCTGCCCTGGATGATATGACAGACTTTGGAGATGCCCCATGGAGGGCCTCACCCTCTCTGGGGAGCATAGTCCCTATTCATTCTAAAACTCAATCTATGATATTGTATGGAGTCATTGTGGCTTTCTTTCACGTACATGGGTACCTCTGCCACTAAATCAGGGCTTAGCTGACAGGAGTACCCATGGTTATAGCTGTGGGTAGTTAAAAACCATAGGCATATCTCAGGGATTTGTGGATTTGGCTACACACTATTCTAGTACAGCAAATAGCCCAATGAATATAGTTCCATGAACATTCTAGTCTTTCAGAGCACATGATGTTTTGTTTGTACTGTAGTCTATTAAGTTAGAATAGCATGATGGTTAATTTGATCACCTTGGATTTTAAAAACTCCAATAAGCTGTTAAAATGGATTTTAACACGCACAAGTCAGCACTCAGCAGCAGTGCACATATTTAACAATAAAAACCATAACCAGAAGCAATGCATCTGTGAGATAGACACACAGTGCGATGCAATAGGTTGGGAAATGTGGAAGGAATGGTCTCTGTGTTAGTAAATGTCATGAGGACAACTGAGAACTAGTTATATACAGCATAAAATGGGACATGTTTGATTATAGAAGCATACACAAAGAAATTCCACATTAGTTCACTTCTTCAAAGTGACAGTGTTGGAGTTACGGTGCTGCTCCCTGGACATAGTGCTATTCTGGACCGACTACACAGGGCCACACTGACTTAACATACTGTCACCTGTGGGGAGCCGCCCCCACATTCTCCGTTACAAGATGGCGCCGACATCTGCTGTCAGTTGGAGTTAACCGTTAGAAGATGGCGCTGACATCTGCTGTCAGTTGGAGTTAACCGTTTAAGCTGTGCCTCTCCCGTGGCGTCATCTGGGGTGATGTGCAAACCACCAATCCCGGCTCTACACGTCTCACTCGGAGCTCCTAGGCTTATATAAGGGGCTGGGTTTCTTAGCTTGGGGTCTCCCTCTAAGAAGCTGATCATCTATCTCTCAAGAGATGTCCCGCGCTACCGTCTCGCCAGCAAGAACGACGCAGAACACTCGGATCCTTCTGCAGTAAAGCTTTAATGCATCTTGAGAGGGAGAGCATAAGCTTACAGAGTGGAGACCCGGGGAGCGAAAAGCCCAACCCTTATATAGCTCAGCAGTCCCCGCCTCGGACGTGTCATCTCCTGACTGGCTCCTGCTCGTCAGCCCATATGACGCCACGGGAGAGGCAGAGAGTAAGGGATAGAAAAGTAGCAGGCACGTGCGCACCAAGGTTGTTTACTCCAACTGACAACGGATGTCGGCGCCATCTTGTAACGGAGAATGTGGGGGCGGCTCCCCACAGTCACCTTTCCTGGTGACCACTGCTTATTTCCTGTCTTTACAAAAGCACTGGGCTTTGTGATATTTCCCACTAATGACACTGTCTCTACTGTGGAACCTGAACATGGTCACCTCCACGGTCTAGGTTCTCTAACAAACTGAAAAGTCAGCAAAACTATGAGGATAAGGAGTAAATCTCAGTGACACTGATGTAAAGGACTTCTATGTGTTTTTTTTTTTTCTGCTTCAGTGATGGTCAAAGCCAAGGTACGCTAGTAGGCAAGCTGTCTAATCATAGGATGTGGCCAGCCTGTCAACTCAGGATGTCTTTATTAAACCTCAAAACACGAATATACCTGCAAACCATCAATCAATGAAAAGAGTTGCAGAAAAATAGTATATTTATATATTTATATTTATACAAAGTTTGTGAATGGTGTGTGTGTGTGTGTGTGTGCTCGCGCGTGCACGCACACATGTGTGAATCTACCTAATAACAATATAGATAAGGGTGGAGGTATAGTTTGGTGGCAGAATGCTTCACTAGCATGCGCAAGACCTGAGTTCAATCACCAGAATTGTAAATAAGATCTGTGGCTAGTGAATCTTACTTGACCTGCTGTGAGCATCAAAACGTCAGGAAACACATAGGCAAGAAGGATATAAATCAGTTGTAGAATTGCTGTTAGCTCACAGGGCAGGCAGTAAAGTAAAATAGGAAGGAGAGGGGGCAATTTAGATATACATATGTCTTTTCTTTTCAAAGAACTAGTTGCAAGACACAGATTTGTGCAAATGTAGGTCAGGATTCAGCACCATGGTAGTGAGAGGGCCTGGTCCCAAGGCTCTGCAGTTCTGATGATCTCACATGTGAGGACAGGCTATCCTTGGGTTCAAGGAGAGCATAGAAATACTGACTACACCTGTGCATTGAGCACAGCTGCCTTGTATTTTGTGTATGTCTGAACTAGACAAAAATGGCGTTCAGAAGACTTGCCAGCAGATGCACATGCGTGCCAATCAGTGAGTGCTAAGTGACATCACTTGTAACATTTGTGTGTATACATACATATACATACATATATATGTATATATATATACAGAGAGAGAGAGAGAGAGAGAGAGAGAGAGAGAGAGGTAGAGGGGCAGAGGCTGTTCCCATTGCGACACAGAAAACACTTAGAAATACATACACACATGAAAGTGAGGAAACCATGAAAACTCATACATCAATAGCTAAGTCTTATAGAACTTTAAAATAGTGATTAAAAACACATGGTGTTTTGTTACCAAATTCCTGAAGTTTGACACATTACATTACTTAATTAAATTAATTCTAACCTCTTCATCTGTCATTGATGTGATACTCCTGAGGGACACTTTATGAGATGTTCTTACACTATAAAAAATGGAAAGTAGCATTAATTCAGATGACATTTAGAATAGTAATAATTAAGATTACTATTTTAAGTATTATAAGCAAATGACATCATAAAAAGAGAACAAACTAGGGAGCACAAGGACATTTTTATTAAAATCTGAGATAAAAACAAGGGAGGCAAACTGTACATCTTGGAGACCATCAGGAGGGAAGATGGAGGAGAGAAAAGGGGAAAGCGCATTTTGAGTTTGGATTCATGAAAGCTGCACCTTGTTAGTTGGCGAGAAGCTGGACTGAGAGTAGGGAGCTTCACAATTGTAATGAGGAAGCCCAGGGTGCCAGGGAAAAGCAGCAGAGACTTTTGGTCAGAACACAAAAGGAAAAGAGACATGAAGAAGGAAAGGAAAAGAACTCAGGAAACTGGGCAGGCTGGGCAGGACCGTGGGACAGACAGACTCTCAGCAGCTACATGGTGGAGAGCATTGGGGAAGGGTAACTGTCACTGCTGGGATGGGCATTGGGGAAGGGTAACTGTCACTGCTGGGATGGGCATTGGGGAAGGGTTACTGTCACTGCTGGGATGGGCATTGGGGAAGGGTAACTGTCACTGCTGGGATGGGCATTGGGGAAGGGTTACTGTCACTGCTGGGATGGGCATTGGGGAAGGGTTACTGTCACTGCTGGGATGGGCATTGGGGAAGGGTTACTGTCACTGCTGGGATGGGCATTGGGGAAGGGTTACTGTCACTACTGGGATGGGCCTTCCTAGTGTCAGCACGTTTTCAGGTGAATCTGCTTTCCTGAGGGGTTGTCTCCTGACCAGGTGATTGGCATGCCCAGCTGAATTAACTCTTCAGGAATGAGCCAATACTATGTAATGTTCTAGTCTTTTATTATCGATTTTTCTTTATTCTTGAAAATTTCATACATGTATACAACTAAATACGACTATCTCCACCCTCCTTTCCCTCCTACAATTCTCTCTGTACCCGGCAAAATGCCTTCTTCTAACTTCATGTCTCCTTTCTTTTTGTATAATCCGGTAGTCCGATTAATGCTGTCTGTTTATGTATGTGCAGAGTCTAACCTTCAGAGCCGACCAGGGCATCATGCCTCCACCTGGGACCAGAAGTAGAACTCACACCCCATTCCTCTGAGGAGGAAGCAGGAGTTCTCCCTTAATGGCTTCAAAGCCTATCCCCATCCCCGCCCCCTGCCCCAGATGGTTATTTTAAATTCTAAGGACCTGCAAAGCCCAATGCTTCCCTTACTACTGTTGTCAGAGAGAAAGAGGAGGTGGTGTTCAAAGCTGATCAGGATGTCTGGATTCATCCTCAACAGCCTCCAGACTACTAGTTCTGTCTAGCTACAACATACTCTAGAGAGAGACGTAAGAAAGAAAGGGGCTTATTTCAGAAAAGTAGAGCAATTTAGTGTGCTAAACTTCAAGTACAGGAGAAAAAGCGTATTGGAACTGAGGCCAAAAATGCACACAGAAGCCAGCTTCACAGACATAAGGAAATTTTCTGTTCCAATTAAGGATTATCACCAAGAATAATCAGATTAGACTTTCCTTGGCAGAAATATGGGATATGGTCAAGAAGTGGGTCAGATTAGGAGAAAAGAATTTATGTTAGGGAGGTGTTCAGTGGATCGAGAGTGGAAGAGATTAGAATTCAGACGGGGAAGTGGCAGGTGCTTTGGAAGCAAGCACTGGTGATCTGGGAGATTCTAAGATGGCCCCCACTTCTTCAATAATCGTACTTGTATGTTCACAGGTACATTTGAACTGAAGGCATACATACCTACATTGAATAAAGGCGCCAGTAGAAAAATGTGGGCAACATAGAAAATTAAGCACACAGAAAGTGTGTATGAGAGACGAGATGGGAGAAGCTGGGGGAAAGTGTGGATGTCTGATTGTTCACATTCTCATTGCTGTGTCAAATTAGCTAGTGAACAGTAAGCTGTCTGTGAATGTTAGCTATCACATTATCCCAAATTATCCAAAAGCATCAGTTCCTTCTCTCCCTCTTTATTTTCATTTATTTATGAGTTTTAGATAAGTATGTATTTGCCCTACAAAATGAAATGTAGAAAAATTATCCATCCCATGTAAATGTTGGAGTGATAATCTTCAGGTCTGTTTTAGAAATGTATGTCACCCACAACTGGGGTACTATGTTTTGAAAATGTATGAGAAGAAAAAGATAGAGAAAATCTTAAATGTTTGAAATTGCCTGAAATGAACCTTTAAAATGTTTTTTTCTATTTTACTTGACGATAAGCACACTGAAATATCCTATTCCAAAGCTGATTTTTCAGAATATACATACACTTGTAACCACATATGGGTTTCTCCTTCTGACTTAAAGTCAACTGTAATGCATCATCATGTTTGTAATGCACCATCATGTTCCTGTATCTAACTATGAAGGTGGAATATGATCCTGAAACACTACATGAGTGACTTTTCTAAAAGTAAGTTGGTGTTACACTTAGGTGCACAATGACATATTCTGCATCGTAAGACAAATGCTTTGCCTTTTCAACGTACCTTCCCTTGAAAAAGAGATGTACAGAGGGAACAGATGTGAACTGTCGGTCACTGCACATGTCCTGGGTGTTCTCCTAGTCTCTGTGTTTCATCTCATGTGGTCTTTACATACTGTGAAGTAAATATTACCTCTAGCACACCTAGTAGTGAATAAAGCTGAGAGTGAACCCAAAAGCTGTCCACCTCTGAGACCCAGAGTCTTGCAGCAGACTCCATTACTGACTCTAGAATGCCAGGACCTATTGTATTTGCTGTGTATTTGATTAAAGTTATACATTTTGTAGGATGGCATGCATCTCACTGACTTATCGTGTGCTTCTTTGGACCCATCTTCACTGAGAGCTTCTGTTTCTTCCTCCTTCAGAGAAGAGAGACACACAGTGTGAATGAGGATCAGTCAGAGGCACCGGGAAGGAAGTAGCTTCTTGCAAAGAGCAACAGTACACCACAACTTGCCTAAAACTCAGGCATTAGACATGAGCCGATAAATCAATTCCTTTAAAAATTCAAATGTCTTACACACTCACTAAATTTTCTCCTTAGGCATCTTAGTAGCATTTGTGTTGACAAAGATCACATCTGTCTGACTTGTTCTACTTTAACCCTTAACCTTAGTCAACCAGATTAATGGAAAAGGAAGTATAGCTCTAGGTCAGAAGGGAACAAATAACAACATCTGGAATAGCTAGACCCATCTGGAATGCAGGAGAAAGTATGACGTGCAAACAGAAAGAAAAAACAATAGCACAAAGGAGGAAAACCACATACATGTTCTGCATCAGACAAACATCAGAATCAAGATAAATTTAAATAAACTCCACACATCTTTTTATCAAAGTATGACAGAATCTTAACATACTTGTTAAATGGAGCCAATGTCATCCCTAAAGTCATCAACATGCTACTGGCAGGTATGGGGCCGGTGTCATCTGTGAAGTCATTAGCATATGCTACTGGCAGGTGTCAGATGAGAAAATAAGAGATGCTTCAAACCTTTAATAGAATCTCAGCTTAGAAATGTGTTTATACCTCAAAAACATCGGACTCTTCTTCCAGTTCTTCTAAAGAGGCGTCTTCTTCTATGTTGAGAGAACATAATGAACATGATATGACTGAAGTACTGAAATGGAATTGTAGCAGACTCCCCACCCCATTCTGATTCAGGTCACACTTCTGGCCTGTCCTTTCCCTGCTCAGGCAGTGGAAAATCTTGGCTTGAGATCCAAGATTTCCCGTGACTGTCTCCCTAAGGGGCATGAGGATCTAGAGAAGCACTGGGGGAGAAAGGAAGCAGAGGGTCCCACAAACATGCATATCTATCGACTGTCTTCGGGTTGGGTGTCTGTCAGTTGAGAGGTAAAGTCACACAGAGATGGTAAGTTGCAAACTTAGTGTTGTTAACTCAATCACCCAATGAATGAGAAGCACTTGTGTGAGTACACAAACATTATGGCAATGCTAAAGGAAAAAATGAAGGCACCAGGGAATTTTGATCAGTTAGGAGTATCTGACACCAGGGCTAGGATATGAACCAGTACGGAATCCTAGAAAATGCCATCCTGGCAATCTGTCCCTAAGTAGGTCCCTCCACTCTTGATTCTCCTACAGCTCACATCCCCCTACCCAGACTTTCACTTTTCTTTTCTCTGTATTTTGTTATCTTTTCTTTCCTTTGCTATTGAATATGAGTATTTCCAAATATATTACTGTTTTGTTTTGTTTGCTTGTTTATTGAGACAAAGCCTCTCTAAGTAACCAAGGCTGTCCTGGAACTCACTGTATTGACCAGGCTAGCCTCAAACTGCCTGCTCCTGTCTCTTTAAGTGCTAAGATTAAAGACATATGATACAATCACTGACTATGTTACCGGTTTTGACATCATTTTATTTGTTCTCTAGTTGTAACCCTCTGCATATTTTTTTAAATAGTATTCAAGCTACCTTTTCTTTCAAAGTTTCTCTTTCAATCATTTTATTCTTTCAATTGTCCAGAATTCAGTACTCAAATATCTTAATATTAACCAAATTGTTATTAACCTAATAACATTCTAGTCTGGCCAGGCATGGTGGCGCATGCCTTTAATCCCAGCACTAGGGAGGCAGAGGCAGGCGGATCTCTGTGAGTTCAAGGCCAGCATGGTCTACAGAGCAAGTTCCAGGACAGCCTCCAAAACAATATAGAGAAATCCTGTCTTGAAAAACAAAACAACAACAAAATATTCTATTCTAAATTTCAATTGCCAATTCGTGGTCAAGAGGATGACTAAACATGGTCTTTAAATTCTTAAAATATGAATAAGGATTATAGGACAAGTATAAATTTTGTTGATATTTGAATTCATCATCATCATCATCATGCTTGCTGCTGAGGATCAAACTAGAGCCTTACAAATACTAGGTAAGCATTCTATTGTTGCAAGATATTTTATTATACTGTATAAAGATATGTCACTGTGATTGGTTTTTAAAAAAAAGCTAAATGGCCAATAGCTAGCTAGGTAGGAGGTATAGGCCGGACTTCTGGACAGATAGAGCTTGGGAAAGAAAAGGGGAGTAGCCAGTCCGACACAGAGGAAGCAAGACATGCAGGGGGAGAGGTAAAAGCCATGAGTCATGTGGTAGCATGGAGATTAATAGAAATGGGTTACTTTAAGTTGTAAGACCTAGTTAGAAACAAGTCTAAGTTAAGGCAAACATTGGTAATTAATAAGAAGTCCCTGTGTCACTTACTAGACTTCCTAGGGGAGGCCTTACCCTCCCAAGGAGCAGAAGGGAAGTGGGGGAGGGAATGGAGGGAGCGAGATGAAAGGAGGGAGGGAAAATGGGATTGGAATGTAAAAAATAAATATAAAAATTGTAAAAAAAAGTCTTTATGTCATTATTTGAGAGCTGGCTGGACAGAGAAAGACTTGTTACACTCTACATCTGGGCCACACCCTTAATCATACCTGGAATAAAGTATGAGAGGAAGTTTTAGAGACTAAAAAATTTCCTATTAGAAGGTTGTTTAACCATAAAATATTAATGTATTGTAATATACTGTGTATTATATATTTATGATGTTATATTTTTATACATACTATCTCCAAGGTATGATCATAATAACTATTATGTAATTAACAATGTTATTTTTTGTGATAATGATACTGATAGATTATAGCACAAGCTGGGCAATGGTGGTACACACCTTTAAACCCAGCACTCGGGAGGCAGAGGCAGGTGGATCTCTGTGAGTTCGAGGACAGCCTGGTCTACAAGAGCTAGTACCAGGACAGCCTTCAAAGCTACAGAGAAACCCTGTCTTGAGAAACCAAAACCAACCAACCAAACAACCAAACACAACCAAAAAGAAGAAGAGAGCACAAGCAGGCAGTGGTGGTGCACACCTTTAATTTAGTACTTGGGAGGCAGAGGCAGGCAGATTTCTGTGAGTTCAAGGCCAGCCTTGTCTACAGAGTGAGTTCCAGGACAGGCTCCAAAGCTACACAGAGAAACCCTGTCTCAAAAACAACAACAAAACAAACAAAGGAAACAACAACAACAAAAGAGCATAAAAGGAAAACTAAAAGTAGAAGCAGGATCACATAAATAAAATGTCATTGTCAGATGTGGACACAACAAAAGGAAGACTAGAGAATAGAATCTGAGAGGAAACAGGTGTGCAACTGATAAAGTTTTCAGCACCTACTCAGTGAGCTGAGTGAGCTCCAAGACTTTACTTGAGAAAGTAGAAAAATACCTTGTTGTAAACTTACCACCAAAAGATACATGCTAAGGAGATAAACATCCATTTTGGCTACCTGCTTTATGCAAAGCAATTTAATAAGAATAACCAAAATATTCCACATTAGAAAGAGACTAGAAATGTATTCTATGTAGAGTAGTATTAAGATGTCTGATCTAATTGTATTGATACCCCACTCAAAATGTAAGCAGGTCATGTTGGTAATCTCACCTAGTCCCTGGGGTGCTGAAGCAGGATTGTGAATGGGCCTGTGTTACACAAAGAGACCTTGTTAGAGAGGGAGGGAGGGAGGAAGGGAGGGAAAAGGTAGCTGTTCATCTGGAGAAAACTCTAGTTTATCATCTTTAGGTATGTGGTAAAATGTCCTACCTATAATCTACAAGTTTTTATATGACTAAGAAAATTAAATTGAAACACAAGGAAAAGGTGAAAAGAACTTTAAAGTAGATCATAAACACCTTACAAATGTTAAATGATTTCTATGTAGGAATACAAATTTGCTCTTGATATTAGGGAAAGACTTGAGATACACCTTTGGCAGCACAGCTTGTGTTTTTTTAACCAACTGGAATTCACCAGTATCTGTAGATGAAATGAAAGCAAGTTAAAAAAAAAAAAAAGAAACAGCTCTTTAAGAAATAACATGTTCTTAAGTTTTAAAGAAATGTAAATTCACTGAAGCAAACATACCATTTTCTTCCAAAAAAATGTTCAGTCCATTCACAATTTCTTGCCTGTTTCTTAACTTGTCTTTCATCTCTATGAGCTAAATTAGAAAGCACAATTAAGTTATCTAACAGAAAGTTCTTAAAAATCAAGGAAGTCTAGCTTTAATGATTAGTTGAATTGCCCATTATTATGTATTGAGCATCTCCATATAAATGCTACCCACAAAGTTGTATTTGGATATTTAAGTATCTTATAATCAGAGAACTATTGCATTTAAGTAACAGCTACAAAGTTTAGGTTGGCTTCCAAAAAATACCCAATATAAACCCAGATTAAAATTAAACATATTTTAAAGTGTGGTGTATGATGCGGCTTCCCTTAGGATGGTTAACTGTTCTAGGGATCTCTTATCATCATAAGTTAATGGGAGTGGGGGAGAGGCTTCTCCACTTACCTTACAACAGTACTTTCAGAACCAAAATGGAAAACCCTGCAGGTTGGTGAAGGCCTCATCAACTCTCATATGAATTTTGTTTCCACAGAGCCTTTAACCCTTTTTGTTTGATTCCCTCAAACTCTCCAAATTTTCAAACATAACTTCCCTAATAATTTGTGTGAAGTGTCCTCAATCTTATTTTGCACTTTAGCATTTCATGTTTAAAGTTTGTGTTGGCCTCTCACAGTCGGTAGAAACAAACTTTCTTCAGTCCTCCCAGGCCTGAGGCCGTTTCTCATCGAGGCATTGCTGATGGTGATCATCAGTGTCTGTCTGTACCGTTCCTTGCACTCACCACACACTGGCATACATTTTTGTTCCTATCCCCTAAACCCTTTTCTTCTTCTGCATGATTCCTATCAATCTTAAGAGTTGGTTCCATCACAGAGACAGCTGACCTGAACTCATGGGAGCTCATGGACTCTGGATTTACGGAGCCTACATGGAATCCACCAAGGCCCTCTGCATGTGTGTGACAGTTGCTTAGCTTGGTTTGACTGTGAGGCTCCTAGCAGTGAGATCATGACCTGTCCCTTCCACACTTAGTTGGCTTTTGGGAACCTGTTCCCCACGCTGGATAACTTGCCCACCCTTAATCCAGGGGGAGGAGCTTAGTCCTGCTTCAACTTAATGAGCCATGCTTTGTTCATGCCCATGGGAGACCCGCCCTTTTCTGAATGGAGACAATGCAGGAGGAATGGATAGGGAGGAGGGTAGATGGGAGGCAGGATGGGAGACAGGAGGAGAGGAGGGAGGGGAACTGTGGTCGGTGTGCAAAACAAAAAAATTAATTAATAAAAAAAAGTGTAGGTTAGATAATTTCTTCAATATATCTCTTTGCAGTGGACACCCTCTGTGCATGCACAACACACTCTATAACTCCACCAGAACACTAGCATCCATTATTCAACCTCTCTGGAGGTAAGGTATGCCTTCTCATTGCACATCGAGTGTGGCACAGGTGTCATTCAAACGAAAACTGAGAATCTGCTACGATTTTGAGTCATACTTGAGGACAGTGGAAATCTAGATCCTCTGGTAATTTAAAAATTTGTGAAAAGGTGATCTAATTCAGAGAGGAATGACTAATAATACAGTTAAATTTTGCTGGACAAAACAAACAAACAAACAGACAATTCCAGATCCCAATGAATGTTCAAGGTAGAGAGGATCACGTTACAGACTGTTAGAAATGATCCTGGACTTGGGAATCAGGTTCACAACTGAACTTCAGAACTTAGCAGATGGCCGTGTACCACAGCAGTGAGACCATCCTAGACAGTGTACTTCAATGGTTCAACAACAACAACAACAAAATTTTTTTTAAATTACAGGTTTAAAGAAATGGATGCGAGCCGGGCAGTGGTGGCGCACGCCTTTAATCCCAGCACTCAGGAGGCAGAGGCAGGAGGATCTCTGTGAGTTCGAGGCCGGACTGGACCGATAGCCTCTGAAACAATACAGAGAAACCCTGTCTCATAAAAACAAAACAAACAAACAAAAAAAATGGATGCGACACAGTGTATCAAAAACTAAGACAAAGGGTTAAATAAATTGACTTGAGATCCTAAGGGTGTCTGTGTCACAGAATGAGACAGCACTTCCCCACAGGCAGCATTCCCATCAGGCAAGTTGTTATAAATTAAGTTTTGGTCTTATCCCATTCGCCTATCCCCCTAGCCTCATTTGGAACTCTGAATATGATGCCTAGTGATTTATTTTTAAAAGCCCATCACATGAAGCCCAATTTTGATGAGTACCAATACAAGATTTTAAAGTTACAGTAAAAACCTGTGACCCCAAATCAATTAAACAGAGAAACCAAAAAGCGGTGGTGTAAGAGTTCACAGTGAGCTGTTGGCTTGTTAGCATTTCTGAACACAGTGAAGAGTTTGCAGTATACACACACACACTAGCAGTGTAGTGGGAACCAAATCCAGGGTCTGACATGCTCTGAGCTGTATCCATAGCTGCACCCCTCCTTCCTCTGTTTTAAACTTTTGAGACAAGGATCTTGCTAATTTGCCCAGACTGGCCTTGAACTTGCTTTGTATCCAGCCAGGCCTTGGGTTTCCAACCTTTGTGCCTCCTCCTATTGAATAACTGGGGTTACAGGTCTGGTAGCCCAGGCCCAGTTTAAAGCTAACTTTTGATTTTTCATGGTAATGCATGTAGAAAATTGTTGACAATCTCAAGTATTTTCATTTGGCTCTGCAGTAAAAGTGAGTATTTTCTGTTAACACCTTTCTTTGCTTCACTAATGATAAGATCATCAGGACAAATGGAGTCTGTACTCAAGTCTCTTAACAACCATCTGCTTCCATCTCATGTGTACGTGGCTAGATAGCATCTCAAATCCTTGACTCCATGAATGCTCTTTCCTTGGGTATCTAATTCCTTTTGTTGGAGGGGATGGGCATGCCGGGGATCCAGTCTTGTCTTGATTATTTGTGCATGCTGGGTGAATGCTCTACACTGAACCCCCTCTTGTTTTAATATCGGGGTAAGTTAGGCAGCAGTTTGTCTCACCAGCATTTTCCTTTGCAGTTGGAACTGTCAAGAGTTAACCTATTTTGTATGTGTTAACCCTAACCTGAATTTAGTTAAGGTCTCTCACTCCCCTTGTCTACATTTCAAGAGACTGGAGGGATCTTGCAAAAAAAAAATGATGAAATAAAAAGGGAAAAATTGTTTATGCTTTTAGTTTAAAAATATAGGCTGTAGAAGTATGGGTTCCAGTAACTGCAACCGAAACCACAAAATTTATATAAAACCACAACTAGATAATCTAGGAGAACAATTTGTCCATCTGAATTTGGACCCAACACTTTTCATTATGTAAATAACCTAAACACGCTATAGACGTCTCTACGCCACTGCTGGCTTCTGCTCTGGCAAAGTATTTGTACAAAAGGGACCCACAGGCCTGCGTGTGGGTGTCAACACCATAGCGGAAGTGGCATCCCTATAAGTAACACATTGGGTACCAACGGTGCTCTGGTAAAATGACATTTAAAAGGCTCCCCTTTCTCTAGCTGAGGACACAAAAGCCTAGATAAGGAATGAGTACTTTAGGGCCTTTCTCTCTGGATCTCTCCACTCTGTCCTTACCTCCCTAGCTCCCAGTCTCCCAGCCTGCAACCGTTACCTCCATCCGGGGAGCCAGGGCCTCTCCGTTGCTGCCTGCTCCAGCCATGTTGTCCAAGGCTCGCGGGTGCTGATGGGACTGAGGCAGGGCTAGTGGGGGCAGGGATGGGGGGTAGCTTTTGGAAGATAGGGAACATCCAACAGAGCCAAGAACCCAGAACAACGAAACTTGGATGATCCTAAGAAATCCATGAGAAAAGCAGGCAGTTAGTTCACCTCCCTGCTGCTCCAAAGTCAGAAAAATGTCCTGGACACGCCGAGTTCATTGCTGAAAGAAGCATTCGCCACAGTGGCGCCCCTATTGCACACCCGTAAGGCCGCTTTAGACCCCTTTTCATGTTATCTGTTAGGAACGCTTCGTCTCGGAATTAGTGTTGACTGTATGTGCAATCCTAAACTGATGCTCAAATGAACTAATACAAAAACGCGTTTCTCTGACTCCACTATGGTAGGACCAATCTGACTTCTTGAGAAAGGAATCCACGTTTTGTTTAGGGCTGGTGTGCATGTATGATACACCTTCCTCCTGGTTTTTGGTGAGCTGTCACCCCTCAGTTTGTCCAATTAAAAAGCATTAACTCGGCTTGGACGATGACTCTAGGGTGTGCAAGGAACGAGAATGTAAGTTCAGACCCCCAGCATCCCTGCCTCAACACACAACATGGAAAGAAAAGCTGGGTTGGCAGCAATGGCCAGACAGTCTGGCAGAAAGACCAATGAGATCAAGGTTCAGTAAGATACCCTGTTGACAGACATCAATTCAGGAAGTAATATTGCAGAAGACTGCTCTCCGATACCCTCCTCTGCATGTAGGTGAATCCATACCGACCTGCACACATACACATACACACACACACACACACACACACACACACACACACACACACACACACACACACGATGCCCCAAATTTACTAAGTGAGTTAGAAAGGTATGGGAAAGAGCTGTATTTGGGTCATTGGAAACGTAAGTTTGGTGGGGAAACAGACTGAGCAACAGGTATTGTAATTTGTATGTAAACACAAATATTAAGAGTTTATACATGACTCATGAGAACTGTAGATGGTGTGTGGAAACACCACACATACTATAACATACCTTTAGATTAGATGCCAAATGTAATCATTAATTTTTGGTAAAGTATCAGAATACTGACCTGGTTTGTAAAGGAATACATGTGAATAAAAAAAAAATACAGACTGTAACCTATTTTTTGTGTTAAAAATGTTGATTTTCCCATGTATATTCTCTGACAAAATCTGACCTTAAAGCTAAAATATTGTCATATTGGAGAGGCAGCACTGCCTTGTCATGTTCTCAGTCCCTTCCTCTCCAGCCTACTTTGAAACTGTACTGAAAACTCCTTCGATGTGCCAGCTGAGTTGTACATTCTCTGTAACCAGTAACCTTGTAAGTCAGGCACCCATCAGCACACCCATCCTCTGCTGTGCAGCCTACAACTTATTATTACCTCGAATGCTGGATACAAAGACAAAATCAACACTGCATATTATTTATTTATATATTTTACAATTTAAAAAATTTCCAGTATACAAATAATCCAGTAAATCCTCATTTATAAAATAATCATTTTGATAGATGATAATAAAATATGGTTTAAAACCCACATTAATTTCAACAGTAACTAATTGTTATAAGTTTAATCATGAAGTTTCTGGAAGATGGGTTAAATGGTGAAAAAAAGGGCGGCCGTGAACACACCCTTTAATGTCATTCCCAAACTGGTGCTTCATTCTACAGATAAGATCCCGGATGTCCTCTCTTGGTAAGTACATGGGTAGTTGTCTTGCCAGTCGGACTGCTTCTCCCTGCGAGAAGACAAGTGACACATTTCATTATGATAGACCCCAAAGTAAAAACACATTCTGGCAAGAGAAAAACTGATATTCATTCACCTAAAACTACTTATTAGGAACCAACAATGCTGTAAATTCTGGAGATACAGTAGTAGGCAACTGGACACAAGATTTTTCTCATGGGATTTATATTTTAATGCAGAGAAACGAAAAACCGATGAGACAAAAAACTGAATAAACAGCATACACACAACTAACTTAACAATAGCAGTGACTGGGTAAACAGGAAACCTTACTCAGAGAGATGACATTTAGGCTTTTCAAGTAGCATGCAAATGCCATGAGCAAAGTAATGCATTTCGGAGAATGGGATGTTCTGTTTGGGTGTGGCACAGAGAGGAGCAGACAAGACAGAAGTTGAGCAGGGACCCGGTCACCCTCCAGGACTGGAGGGCTGGAGTTTATTTGGATACACAGGAAAGGAACAACGGATTACACAGAGCCTGGCAAGCGTTTCGCATGCCATGGGAAATGGTGTTTGAGGCTAACAATCACTGTGATGCTGGTGAGAGCTGTGGCTTCGGTGACAAGAGCTGCTATGGTATCTGCCTTATAGGTGGTTGGCAGACTGGTTATGAGGCCTGTCCGAATCAAAGGGGATGTCCTCAGGTTTGGCACAGGAATGCTGTTTCTGATACAGGAAAAAGAAGGGCTTAGGGAATAAGAATCATAAACTAGGCTAGTTCTTTTAGTATTAAAAAAAAATCCTGCACCTCAGAGTTGCTGCATTGCAGCATTATTCTCTTTGGCTACAAGTCCATTGTCCTTCTAACCATTCCACCATAATCTGTCTTTCCTTCCCTTTCACCTTTAGCCTCTCTTACTCTCAGACTCACAAGCCTCCCTGGAACCTCTTTCCCTCCCCGAGGCTGAGTAGTGAATGAGGTACTCAGAATCCAACACTAGGGTCGACTTAAGTGAGTTTCTGGAGTACAGTGTGTTCGGTGTCTATCACTGATCCTTAGTCTCTGACCCTATCCAACTTGTTAATCCTTAGTGTAGGGTAAATTCTATCAGACAATACTGGAGTCATGCAACTGTTGTGGTCTGACCCAATACAAATGTCAGGTCTTAAGAGCCCTTGGTGACACCTGGGGATTGTGCTATTCTGCACAGACTGTCCTTTCTTTTATTGTAGCTATTTTCTTGGTTCCAGATCTATTACAGTACTGAAACACTCAAGTCTCCCTAGTCCTTCACTTGCAGCAGACAACATCTCTCCTTTCAACACATGCACCTTCTCATTCACCTGTACATTTGTAATCCAAAGTACTTGGGAGGTTGAGACAGGAAAACTGGTATGGGTTTGAGACCAGTCTGGGCTGCATAGTGAGGTACCAAACCAGACAAACAGACAAACACACACACACACACACACACACACACACACACACACACACACACACACACACACACGGACAAACACCCCCTCCCAATAAAAAACCAAAGCCAAAGGAAAAATTATTTTTTTCACTTGTTTTTTTGGCTCTTGGTTCAGAGACCATTATGCATGTCCTTTCTAACATTTCTCTGTCACACTGGAATATTTATCACCCCCTTTTGGTTTTTCCAAACAGTTTCTCTGTGTAGCCCTGGCTATCCCAGAATTCAATCTGTAGACCAGGCTGTTTCCCAAGTCCTATGACTAAAAATGTGTGCCTGGTCAGCTTCTTTTTTTAAAGAGCAATCCCATAACAATCACACCTCGTTATTCCAAGGTGGTTCAGATCAGCAAATCCATTTAAGTCTAGTCTCAACTGGTTTTTTCTCCATTACTTCTGAAACCTTATTTCTTGTCCACATGTTTTTTTTTTTTTTTTTTGGTTCCTAAGAAAAAGACTTCTTTGGAGTTCCCTGAAACTATCAGTGCTGAAGTGCCCTGCCAATGGGCTGGGAATTTCCACAAGACAAAGCTCCCAAGGGTTTTGTCAACAGAGCTGGTCTGAGTGTACTCTCCAGAGTCACGGGGATGGGCATGCCCTGTGTCTGAACACCATGAATAAGAAAAAGGATGTAAATAAAGTCAGGTTTGCTTTGAAAATAACAGCTGACCTTAACTTAGAACTTCAGTGACAAAAGTCACAGCCCTTAGTCTATACTTGGAGGGCTTAACCCTCTTATTTTTAAGACAAGGTATGTAGTCCTGGTTGACTGCAAGTCTGTGATCTGTGTGCCTCAGTAGCTTGAGTGCTGGGAGAGCAGACACGACATCAAGCCCTGCTTACTCTGAATAACGCACTTTTTAAACCTAATTTTGCAATTCTCATTTTGGGAGATGCAATAAAGTCTTAGCAAAGTAAAACTTCCATTTATTCAACAATTCAGCTCCATTTACTCAATTTAGATCTTTCTCTTCCTTTTGAAGAGTTCATGTTTAGAATCACAATACAATGTTTTAGACAAATAATATGATATAAAAGTTGAAAAATTTGGAGTCCATTCTGAGATTACATATGAAATTAATAGAAAACAATCCTATAATGTTTCATAAATAAAAGTGCCTAAAAACTGTATTACAAGATCTCTCAAAGCATTTATCACAGTCTATGCTATGAAGTATTTTAATTGAGTATTTTAAAATAGCAGTTTCTTTGTGAAAACAAACATTTTAGAATCTTCCCTTTTAGCCATTTAATACAGGGTTAAGTGGGTGACATAGCCCTTGAATCCAGCAGAGGGTTAAAGGAGGAGGCAGAGGCAGCGCATCTCTGAGAATTCAAGACAGGCTTGGTCCACAGAGGGACTTCCAGGCCAGCCAGGGTCACATAGTAGGACACTATCTCAAAACAAGACAAAAATAAGGTTTCTATTTGATTGAGAACTGTGAAAGTTAGGCTACCCATGTGACCAATGAGGCATACCTCCAGATAACTTGCCACTTTTCGTGGTCTGCATTCGTAGAGCTCCTTTGCATTTCTGTCTATTATGGCACTAAGAATTTCCTTTAAATCCATTACTCCATAGAATGGGAGACACTTAGCCATGCCTTCTATTTCCAAGTAGTTTTCAGTACTGGAAACTCCTGAGAGACAAAACAAAAACACACAGGGGCATAGTTAAGTTAGTAAGAATTATATTCCAGAACAAATCCATTGGAAACAAAAATCACTGTTAGAACATTTAGTGAACCTTCATCAGAATTTAATATTTCAGGACAAAGTTTGTTCCTTTATGGAGAACAAATAATAACTTCCCAGAAGACTTCAATTAAGTCAT